AATTTTTATTTGAGATTGCGGAAAATCATGATGCATATCCTTAACAAAAATACTATAGATATACTAGCACATAAGAATTGTAAATTTGAGATTTTTGTTCTTTTGCAGATTTTTGCGACATAGAAGAGAAAGATGGAGCCTCCCAGGACTACTGTGATGAGACCAAAACACAATATCCATGCAACCCTAACAAGGGCTACTATGGCCGAGGAGCATTGCAACTAACTTGGAACTACAACTATGGACCGGCGGGGAGCAACATCGGGTTTGACGGTTTGAACTCACCGGAAACAGTGGCCAAAGACCCTGTCATCGCGTTTAAGACAGCGTTGTGGTATTGGTTGACCAATGTTGAGCAGGTGACAGGGAAAGGGTTTGGACCTACCATCCGAGCCATTAATGGAGATCGGGAATGCGACGGTAAAAATCTGAACAGCGTTAATGATAGGATTGGGTACTACAAACAGTATTGCAACCAATTTGGCGTTTCCCCTGGGGACAACCTTAGTTGCTAGCTAGACTTTGAATTTTAGAACCTATTTAATGTCTTTTCTCACCCTTTTTTTGTTGTAATTCTAATAATATGAGCTCCTTAGCAAGCTCTGAATTTTCTTTAAATGAATAACTCAAGCAATATATATATTATATTGTTCTTTTTTCACTATCTTACGTAGTTACTCTGATCCTTTTTACTTGCAATGGAGATTAATTAACGTATGATCACTAAATTAAAAAAAAAACAACATATACAGATTCAAATTCTCACTCTTTTAATATGCTGTATGGTTAGCATGGTAAAAATTTAAACTTTTAATCTTAATTCTAGAATTAAAGTTTTAAATTTAATAATTGTAATACCAAATCAACTAACCCCATATTGGTTTGATATCTCTGCATATTTTCAACCAAGGTATTATTATTCCCCACCTACTAAATGCAAACTTAACAAAACCGATGTATAACATGAGTGGTATAATTAATCAATGACAATTTAACACATAAACACAATAATAATAAAAACTAAACTCATTCTCACTCACCCGCACCAGATGAATCAATATGCAACTTTACTTTTGATGACTAGTGGAATTGTCATTGACAGACGTCCTGGCGTAACCATTGCATACAGTGGCGGAGACAGGGGGGTGTGAGGGGAGGCGCTCGCCCCCCCTGAAATTTGAAAATCTTGCAAATTGATATATAAAAAATTATCTAATCTCCCCTGAACTTTGAAAATTTTAGTATTTTGCCCCCCCTAAAAAAAATTTCTGCCTCCGCCCCTGATTGCATAGGATGCCTTCTCCAATCATGTAGCAAAAGAATTAACAGAGAACATATATGAATAATGAAAGTACTTATTTCTTACCCAAAAGATTTTTTCTTTTTTGATGAACAAAAATCAAGAAACTTTTATATTTTCCGATTCAAATAACAAGAATCCAGGCTCTTTTGCTTCGTAGAAATTATGTCAGATTAATTACGCCAAGAACATAATCATTCAGAGATTTCTTTTATTCCTTATTACATTTACATTCATCTCCTATATAATTTTTTCTGCAGCATGTCTTGACGCTACGGAAAAAGATCAAATAAACTTAACAAACAAATTTGCAACATACATATATATATATTTGACTGTTGGAGACCTCGACATGACTGTTGTATTCAGCCTGTAGTGGCCAGGTCCTTTAGGACTAGGTCCGGAAGCCAGCCGTCCAAGCCAACAGGACATCGTGGACTTCGCCTTTCGTACACTGACGAGTAAGTCGCCAGGTGGTTCGCCTTCGTGAAATCCTCAGGCAACACTCTCATTGCCTCAACAAAGCTCAGTATGGACACTTGTAAGGATAAGCCCGAGGTTCTTAACCTCGGACGTACCACTACGTTTCGTTAATAACCAAAGCGAAGGTTAAATCTAGCACTTCCCGGTCAAACAACTGCATGACAGGTATAGTGAACATATCCACACCTAATTTCTCGGTCCTAAGATCATCGCCTGAAAGGACACATCAAACTCCAATTATCTCGTTAAGTAAGCCACGTGGACACCTCATTAAGGCCTATAAATACCCTCAGAAGCCACTTCAAAAAGGTAATTGAAACCGACCTAAAGCTTTTTTTTCCATTATTATAAAGGTAGATCCGATTATTGCTGACTTAAGCATCGAAGTGTCTACTCCGAGGATTCACCTCAAAGCTTTGCAAGTTTATCCGGAGTGAAGACATAGATTGAAGAAGGACTTCTAGTTTGGTGCAATTATATTTGGCGTCGTCTGTGGAAATCCGAACTAAAAACTCTCTTGTTGCTCTTTCATCATTATTAACACTCGGTCTGTTCGAGCTGGAAGACAAGCTCAACCTTCTGCCCAAGCCCAAGCTCAATACCTAAATCAACTTCCACCTCATATCCCGAATCTATTCCCTCCTATTGAACATACAGAAGGAGGTGATGAAAACCAACCTCACAAATTCAGCTCCCACCCCGAACCAAGGTGATGCAATCTCAGCTCAGCTCACTGCAATGCAACAGTAGTTCAATGTTTTTCAGTTGGTTTTGGCTCAACTTTTAGTTTAGAATAATCCCAGTGATCCCCTCATTAATCTACTTAACCCTACTCAACAACCTTTAGTTCCAGCAAGAGCCCCAACCAATTCGCTCCAATGATTGTCAACATGCTCATGCCCTCAATGAGTCTTAGGGTCAGTCTCATGTGGCCCCAGCTCAACAACTTTTACCTGATGATGTCACACGATGCTTGGACAGTTTAGAAAAAATGGTAACTGAGCAGCGAGGTGCTCCACCTTCCCACCATAACACCATTGTTTTAAAATTCAGACCGCACCAACCAGTCAAATCGACACCCGGTACCATAAATGGATCGGATAAGTGCTTGGAATCGATAGAGAGGTTGAACCGTTTAAAACCGAAAAAACCACTCGAATCAATGTAAACCATTAAACCAGACAATTTAAAGTTCTTGGAAATTTTCCTTTAGCTTTGTATCCTCCAAGGCTTGAACACAAGACTTCAAAGAGACTTTCAAGTCACTTCTGCCACTAAGACTTGACCCGCTGGATTGAAAATGACTTAAACTTTTATTTATTTTACTTTTAGGAAGAATAGAATTACTTTCCAACACAATCCAACTTTGAAAATTAATATAATATTTATCTAGTTGGTATTTTAAATATACAAATTAAAAATATAATAAATATAATTTTTTATAATTAATTTATAAAATTATAATG